TTTTCCCAACCCATCCTTGCGTTTGGTAAGCATAGTCATCCTCGCACCTGAGTAATGTCATTTAAGAATGGATCATACATTTCCCCAGCGAAGACTTGTCGAGGTCTCGAAGAGTGCTTTGCTGAGCGCTTCTCCAATATCTCAAACGCAAGGTCTGCATCATTGACGATGATGATAGTCTGATCAAGCACCTTTACGGAGCTGATTGGACCTGGTTGCACAGGAAAAACTTAGCAATGTTACCTTCTCTAAGGTGCCTCTACCCTTACAGAGATATATTTTGAGAGAGGAAATGGCACGTACCGTACAACTTCTTATGCTTGAGCCAATGCCTCGCCTCAATCTCGCCGGACGGAGGCAGAGCGTGGATACTTCCTATGAATGGGAGACCTTTTGGTCCTGGTGGAAGTGGAGGACGGACTGAAGTCTTGAAGAAGCCAACAGTGAGTCCTGTGAGATAAGCGAAAGCCCCCGAGAGGAAAAGGACAGTTCCTAACCAAATGATGCCCATTTTTCTATTGTTTCTGTAGGTTTTTTAGACAGAGGTGCAAGTGATGTGAAGCTTGTTGAGCTGAGAAAGCAGAACTGGGGGAAGAAATCAGTCATACTTACGCGAAGGATTTCGCAGCAGTCGGACATACAGGCCCGTCACGGGCATGGGCGCCTGGATTGGGCCGTGGCAATAGTTTACGTATGAGGGATAAGAGCTGTCTAGTTTTCTATTGGCTGTAATTATGGTGCCAAGTAAGCGCTTGTGTTACGCAACCCAGCAGGTGGGCAGGGAGTTTGCAGACGTCTCTTGCAGACGACGTTCTACATACCCAGGGGACGTCGTTTTGTCTGCTGCCAGCCTTCGTCCAAACGTTGGCTTGATGAACCTTGGTACAGATGGATTGTTCATTGACCCGTGCTTCATACGTGGCTTCGGGTATGTTTCTAAAGTGTGAAAATATTCTCGCCAGTTGCCGACGGGTTTTCCAATCTCGTGCTAGTCAATACGTACAAGTACACCACAAGCAACTGTAGGGTTTGTTAACGCTCAAGGAATCTATCTTGGTATGCGGTCGAGGCTAGCTTGTGCAGCCAGGCTTTTGTCAGATTTTCCCTGCGCCCAAAGATGCTGAATATCTAAAGTCTATGCTCAACAAGAAATGGAGCTCCCACAATAAACACACGCGTCGAGTCTCACCAACCTGTTCGTCCATCATGCTATTGCTGCATCTTCGTCTTTTTCTAACACCTTCTTCAAGAAGCCGAGTAATGGTGCCACCCACTCCTTTCTAACCGGCACATGGTGACCACCCGGATGAACGATCACATCAGGTTCAACAAACCGCTCTGCCAAATCTCTACATCTTGGCTCCTCCACCACCGTGTCCATGCTGCCAAAGAAATGACATGATGGAGTCTTGATGTTGCCATCGTACAGCCACCCAAGCTGCGCGCCTGGTCTTGTCACAAACCCGGAATAAACGATACCCAACCGCAGGGACCTCCCACCATTTGCCTCACGCAGCCGCTTGACCCAGCTTCTCTGCACGTCGTCCTCGGGCAACTCCCGGTCCGCTTCCAGTGCCGCGGCGACCAGCGCGCCGACCGCTCCACCCTGGCTGAATCCTAGCACACCGTCGACGCCACCAGCATCTTCGATTGCATCGGCGATGGCACGCATGCCCTCCTCGAAGCCTCGCAAGAGGCCAGGCTCTTCATCATGGAGAAACCAGCCGTAGGCGTCGAGCTCCGCGTCAGACTCCTCGTCGCCCTCACGAGGCTGAAAGCCTGGGATATCCGAAGGCTGCAGTTTGTGCGGGCCTGTCGGATAGATGCGTGTTACGTTGAAGGATGGCAGAGCCTTGGCGATCATCTTGGACATTGCGCCTGTCTTGGAGCGGAAGAGGGGCCCGGTCTGTGCATAGCCTGGCTTCAAGGTCAATGCTGGATCGTGGGCTTCATGGAAGGGAACAACATACCGTGAAGCATGAGGATCTTGATCTCCTCCTTTTCCGCGTTGGCATTTCCGTGTTTGCCGCCCTTTGCGGGTTGTTGTTTGGTTGGCTGTTTCGAGCCGGAGTCCGCCATGGTGGTAGTAATTGCTCTCAAATTGCCGTCTTTGCTGTGTCCAATGGTCTTTTCAGCGACGACGGAGAATGAAACGCAGCTGTGAGCCTGCAACTTGGCAAACTTGCAAGATGTCGTTCGACGGTCTGACTCAAAAGATCCACTCTGCCAGTGGAGTTTTGTCCCGGTTGATTTTCGGGGTGTCACGTGTTTTCTGGCCGCCAGCACTTCATAATAGTCTCAGCTCAGCATTCTCACTGTAACAATGACTGACATCCGCATTTGACTATGCAACAATCCTTTGATTTCACACTCTATATTCACAGACGGAGGCCCGGATAGCCTCTGTGATTGTAACGCGGTCGTGGTCATGGCCTCAGGATATCTGGGGAGGGGGGCCTTGGTCCCTCGTGTTCAGCCAGCGCCGCGAGCGATGTCTTGTCCAGACATGTTCCGAACTGCCTTCTCAGCAGTGATCTGCAACTCAAGCCTCGTCAGCCTTGGCTACAGGTCTAATCTAGCGGCCTCCCCTTCTGTCTCTTTGGACAACCACCCCGCGCCTTCCAGCTGCAACGAGAATTTGGACGTTCGCGAGCGATACCTATCATCTCCTCTTTTTTACATAGCGTATCAAGCAACGGCCAGGCTCAAAGGAGGAACTGATGATCTCTGTGTGACTACAGCATCCATTCCCACTTGGTGACAAAGCATACATCTTAGTGCGGGGAAGTGAAGAAACTTAGTATGGCAAAGGCTCGAGTCTGGCCTTGACTGGACCTCGGTTAATCACTGTGCTCCTGAAACAACTTCCCCATGCATGCCTAAAAGAACAATGTAAAGAAAGGCATTTCATCCGCTAGTTTGGATCAAATGTCCACAGGGTCCGCTTCCCGAACGTCAGACTCCTAGTTCCATCATAGCAAGAATGTCGCTCAATGCTGGATTTTCCTGGGCCGAGCCCGCGTGGTTCGGCTCCCTTGAGTCGCCATACTACAACGAGTCGCATAGAATTCTGCAAGCATACGTGAGGAAATATGTGGACGACAATATTATGCCCCATGCTCTCGAATGGGAGGAGAAGGGCGATTGTCCCGAGCAAATCAAGAATTCGTACATCAAGACTGGCCTGCCGCTTGCCGATATTCCGGCCCGATACAAACCTCCAGAGCTCAGGACCTTAGCCGGGATTCCCACTGAGAAGCTAGACACCTTCCACCATATGATCCTCGTCGATGAGCTAGCGCGATTCGAGGGCGGCGTAGGCATCGCGCTCGTTGGAGGAGCGAATGCTATCGGAGTGCCGCCAATCATGAATCATGGTACGGAAGAACAGAGAGTTCGCTGGATTCCTGGTCTATGCACACGTGAGACGAGTTTCTGCCTGGGTATCACAGAGCCCACTGGCGGCAGTGATGTGGGAAACATCAGAACGAAGGCTGTCAAATCTCCGGATGGAAAGTTTTACACGGTGACAGGAACTAAAAAGTGGATCACGGGAGCCCAGTGGGCAACACACATGACCACGGCCGTGCGGACAGGAAAGCCGGGTCTTGGTGGGATCTCGCTACTCGTGGTGCCATTGTCATCCCCTGGGATTGAGATTGAGAAGATCAAGAATAGTGGCCAGAACGCCGGAGGCGCAAGCTGGGTCCGCATGAAAGACGTGCGTGTACCTGTGGACAATCTCTTAGGCAAGGAAAATGCTGGTTTCAAGTACATCATGACCAATTTCAACAAGGAGCGCTTTCTCATGGCCGTAATTTGCAATAGAAAGGCTCGGACATGTCTGAGCACAGCTTTGGAATATGCACTCAGCCGAGAGACATTTGGACAGGCACTCATCAGCCATCAGATCATACGGCACAAGTTGGTGACGATAGGGAGGGAGGTCGAGTCGCACTGGGCGTGGCTGGAGACGCTTGCATATCACGTACAACTGCATGGATGGCAAACGGATGGGGTGGCCGGACGAATCGCTTTAGCCAAGGTGTCTGGCGGTAGGATTTTGGAGCTGGCTGCGAGAGAAGCACAACAGATTATGGGCGGTGTGGCCTACCAGAAAGGACCGGGGATAGGGGGCCAGATCGAACAGATTACTAGAGATTTGCGGATGATGGTTGTTGGCGGAGGCTCCGAGGAAATACTTGAGGATTTGGCCTTCCGACAAGAGGCGAAGGCAGCACAGAAGAGGGCAAAGTTGTAAGATCATGGGGGCATGGCAAGAAAATGTCTCAAGCTAAGTAATTGCTCATCATTCTTTGAAGAATTTACTGCTAGGTCAAAGTCCTGGCTGCAGACCTGCGAAGTCTATGCCTGCCAATTTTGCTACTGTTGTGTTGTTGTGTTAGCCCTTATACTAGATAGCCTGCCCGCATACAGCATGGATGCCACATACCTAGGTACCTACTATAATGTATTGGCTAACCACCATTGCACTCTCAAGGGCTGGCCAACATATGTCTCTGATCGGCACGATTGCTCTACGCTGAGTAACAAGTCCAGATGGGTTATTGACCATCAGGGGATAGTGAGCGGTCAAACAGCCAGATTTAGCCTGCCGATCGATCCAGTTGAGTGCAGCGGATGCCCGACTAGAATAAAGCTTTGTGCTTACAGTAACACGACACCATCAAGGCAAGAAAGTGTGTGGAACTTTGAACAGAACAACGGAACAATGCTCGAGAAAGAAGGGCAACCCACCGGATGCTAATATGGGCAGGCAGCTGTATTCGCGATTCCACGAAATAAAGCGAACATGACCAGCCATATGCCAGGGCGTTGGGCAAGCAAATCCTTATTTCCAGCCTCACAATGATTTGAACAAGGTGTGAAAAACGAAACAAGCAGAGAAACAAATCACAGCCGCATATTCTAGTGATAAAAAGAGGAAAGCAAAAGAGGATTTGGGCAAGTTAACCTGGAGTAAAATCAGAACAAAAAAATGGACAAATTGGGGATCGAACCCAAGACCTTTCGCATGCAAAGCGAACGCGCTACCACTGCGCTATATGCCCAGAGTTTGATTAATCAGCAATCAAGTTTAAATTATCGATCATATATTGTGAAGTCGTCTGCGTCAAGAATGCTCGGCTTTCGGTGTTGGGCAACGACATATATCCCTGTCCAAGAATCAGGTCTTCGTCGACAAAATTCAGTCTGCGGTGGAATTAGATGACATGCCAATCGGCTGGGTCCGGTACCATGCATTCTGTCCAACTGCTATTTTGCTCGGATACTCCATTCACCAAACGATAGTTTCCATACTTCAATACTGACAATTATTAGAATTAAATTACAAGATATGTCAATATATACATAAATCCAATGTCGAAATGGAAACAAGGTACGTGGTGGCCCTCCCATCTCCTGAGTGATCTGAGGAATACAATGACATCTGTGTCGGGGAATTGGGGGGGGGCCAAAGTCTGAGGATTTGTAGCCAAAAGTTGCCGCAAGATCACCCAGCCCGAGCCCAATGTTGAAACAACCAGTATTTGTATGATGAAATTATTGCGGCCCGTTTCAATTGCATTACTTTCAAAGCTCTTGTTGGATCGAATTCCGTTTATGTGGACCTTGACTTGACTCTACGTCATTCCTCCCTTCAGTGGATGTTGTGGCGATCATTACGTGGTTGTCACTGCGCCTCTAAGACAATATTTATACCCCATTGCTCATCAGCTTGTGATGGTCCTGATGAATTGATCCCTCGATTTGAACCTGCCGCTGATACCCTCGAAAAAAACGATTCTCCATCTTGTCCGTCCGAACTTTGCACAGCCTAAGAACGCTTTTCGTCGACCAATACTAGCCTACCTGGGTGTATACTCCAATCACTTCACGCTCTAGCCAACATTACAATACGCCGGAAGAGATCATGGACACTCTCACTTCTCGTCTGAACAAAATAAGAGGACGTGAGAATGTCACCGAAGGCCGAGGGAAAGAAGCAACACCCACGCCCGAAACACAGCATTTGGAAACTCAACCCAGTGCCGCTCACAGCAATGCCAACAAATCAACAAAACATCACTTCTTGCATAAAGGCAACGATACAAGCCTTCAACAAAGCGCTGGTCAGCGAAAGGCTCTGCCAAACGGTCGTCCAACTCCTGCAGCACAAAATTACAATGAGGCTTCGCTCGATATCGACTCTTCTTCGCCAGCCAAACCAGCCTTCACGCGAGGGATCTCGGTCGTCGACCAGACAGCAGTCACCTCTACCGCTCCAACGCCAGCTGGAGAGATTCAGAATCCAATGAGCTTTGGCGTGGGACAGTCGATGGCAAGACAAAGGGAATCACACTTGCCGGACGAGGACCTCCGTGAGCGAATCCGAGCGATGAGCAAGAGTGAGCCCTCAGATGACATAGCAGGGAACGATGATTTTGGAGACGATTTATCGCGTCAAGACACAGAGAAAGCAAGGTGAAGCTGAGTAGCTGTAGGACGACCAACGCGGCCGGAACAGGACGGGCACATGAGCTGAGTACTCCATGGTGCTTCGAGCGTTATTTAGTACTGAGCACAATCTCAAACCTCCCCTGAAAATTCCTTTGCAGCTGTACGCATAATCTCAAGGCCTCCCGAATTTCTGTCCCAAAAGGAAAATGGTCATTTGTTATGAAGAATGCACGTGACCGCTCAAATACATTCCAACAGTCTTTCAGCCACCATATGAGCAAGAAGAAAAGTAAACGTTGAACAAGTAGAAATGATGGCGATTGTGAAAGGGGTGATCATCACGAGGGGTTGGGAATATACGTGCTTTTTTAACGGACCGAGACCCACTGTGCAACCATTTGAGGGCAGGAGTTTGCGAACCGAATTAAAAGTTGGAACGATCTAATGAAGGCCAAATCCCGGAAACGGGACATCAGATAAGCGCCAGCAATCCTCCCAAATCAAAAGGCACGCCTTATGAACTCCGACTGTGACTAACAGAATCCTCGAGCATATCTCATACTGGGGGGTTTGACCATTCCTTGCTATGCTTACACTGGCCTTGATCGCGGTGCGCAATGTGTCTAGGGATCCGGACGTGACTCAGCTTTCCTCGTCAGCATCCACTAATGAGCACCATATAAAGGGGAGTCTGGCAGAAATAAGATGAAAAGGCTCTTAAATCTGCTGAAGTTCATCTCGACAGTTTTTCGAACTCACCCTTCACAGAGTTGAGAGTCAGGATGATTAAGGAAGACATCACGAATATAATGGACGATACAAGCGAGCTCATGACACCCCAGCATGCTCGAACCCCTAGACGGCTATCATCAAATGTTGAAACCTTGACCATACGACTCGACACCACCTTGGCAGATCTGTATCAAGAATGTGGTATTGCCGGCCCATTCATCGTTACGATGTACTGTGTCTTCGGGCACATGGACCTGCATCCGTGTTTTCCCCGCGAGCTCGTTTACCCGGAGGACGAGGAGCCCGTCCCGTACGCCGATGATGAGAAGGAGATCGCGAGGCTTAGGAAAATCATTCTAGGTCTGAAACCTCTGCGGAGGGCTTTTGGTTTGGGCAGGGTGGATGTGCTCTTTTTCGCCCCCAATATCACTGAGGCAGGGATGGAGAGGGCGCTGTTGCAGCTTGAACCTGATCAACGGCATCGACCCAGAATAGTGGACCTGGATGGCGGAAACGTGATTGAGAGCCTTCAAGAGACGACCAAAGACGCAAAGCTGCTCTTTTGGCGGCCACAGGGTTGGATGGACTTCCACAATTGTCTCCTTGACCCTCGCGAGATGTTTGACATCAACTCAAAGATGTTCCTCCTCACTTCTGGGATTCGCACACCTAAATCAGAGGTCTTCAATTTGCAGAGCATTTCCCTTGATGAATCCTCCTGTATCTTCCAGACGCGGTCCCTGCCGTTTGTGGTCAAGCTGCTTCGAGCGGGTTGTGGTTTCGGGACATTCATTGTCAGGACTGAGGCCCAGCGAAGCATCTTGTTGGCATCCCTGACCACTTACAAAGCAAGAGGCACGACAGACGTGATACTCTCCCAGTACATATATGCCGTCCATGACCTCAGCGTACACTTCATTGTAGGCGCCCCGGGAAATGCTCACGACAGAAATAACCCCCTCATCATGGGCGTCACCGTGCAGACACTTACCCCGGACGGGAAGTGGGTGGGTGGGCACATCGACTATAGCAGGCAGGACGAGCTTCGCCAACTGGTGCGGGAAACCGTGCGAGATACGACGCGACGGCTGCCAGTAACGTTCATGGGTTGGGCTGGTGTGGATATCGTGGCAAATAAGGAGGGCGACCAGTATGTAGTAGACTTGAATGCTCGCTTCACGGGCTCCATGCCTATCTGCTTCATGTCGGGGCATTTTTGGAGGCGAAGGGCCTTACCGTTGGCGCAATTTGCTTCTGTTGAGTACACGGGCACAGTTGATGATATTTATGATCGACTGGGTCCGCTTAGTGAGACGGGAAGGGTTCTAATTACTGCGACTGCGGCGATTGAGGATGATCTGAATATGGCGGATGTTATCTGGGGTGGCAAGGACGCGAAACATCTATCAGAGGTCGAGCAGTGGATCAAGAAAAAGCTTGATGGGACCTAGGAAGCCGGTGATGCCAGAGCATTCCCTCCTCCTGTTCATTTTAGAAGTTCACGACACATATTGTCAACAAGCCTCTCCATAATTGTGCCCCTTGTGCCAACGTGTAAAGCTCAAAGCCGGTTTCATTGACTTAGTCCAGCCCAGCAGCCTTCCGCATGCGCCGTCGCTTCGCCACAGACCTTGCGACAATGACATCCTCATCGAATATCGAAGCGATACTTGGGTGCTTCGACACCGCCATCGCCCATTTGTAGAACATCGGGGCCTTTGCTCTGGATAATTTGACCAAACTCTCGGGGTATACGCCATGGTTCGACAAAGTCACTGCGCGTATGACAAACGGTCCGGTGACCACTTCGGCCAAAGTCAGCTTGTGGTTCCCGCCTAAGAAAGGCGAAGCATCAACCAAAAGCGGTTCAATCTCCTTTGTTAGACCCTCAATAGCATCTGAAATGATTTTTTCCTCGTCGCCCTCGGTGGGTGCCTCAAAGAGTCCAAACAAAATGGTGTGGAACTTATTCCAGTAGGTGTCGATAAAGAATGACATCTGGGCCCTGAAAAGTGCACCTTCCGGAGAGATCGGCGCTGGACTCAGGTGTGAAGGGTAGACATCCGCGAGAAACTGACAGATAATGGTAGACTCGATGATGACTCGGTCGTTGAAGATCAGGACTGGCACGAGGCCGCGAGGGTTCAGCTTCAGAAAATCCTGGGGTCGAGGACCATCTACGTTAATGACCCGCTCCTCGAAAGGGACGCCGAGTTCATTCAGAGCAGCATTTGCTCGATTGGCCCCTGTGTCGTTGTGAGCTGGGTACTTGAACTAGAAGGTGATTGAACAGGAAGGCCACTCACATGTGCAGGTGTAGTTCGTGTACAGTACCAGCTTGTCTCTAAATGAAGCCATGTTGCTGAGCCCAGGTGGATGAAGACGTTGATATCGCCCTACAGAAACCGAAATGCGCGTGCGGTAGAGCGAAGCTCTGAGAGACCCAGTGGAGGAGACATCGTACGCACTCGACACATTATTAATTGGACCGTTGCTTCAAGAGGCATCTCTGTGCCACTCTGACTCAGCCCTAAATAAATAGGAAGGATTCGCTTCCTGTTGAGTTGATCTATACATGCAAATTATGTCCACCTTCGGCGCCATGCAGCGACCCATGTCTGGTTTACATTCGATGACACAGGTGTCTCCATACCTACCTAGATACCTAGGTAGGCAGATGATAGCAGTAGTTTGCGACGTCTGATCAAGAGGCTCATTCAAATTTACCTTCCATTTGTTCGATCTAAAATCTCACAAAGACTGGGCTCGTTACTACTTTATGACCACTCCATTCCCGGCCCACGAAGTAGATGGCTTTCTCACCACCTTGAATAGCGTCAAAGCTAGCAGTCCCTCTGACCTCTGTCGGTAAGGTCAC